GGGGGGGGGGGGGGTTGTGTTGTAGAATAGTTGCTTAGAAAGTATAGCCCACTGAGCAGCACATAATACTTGTATCCCTTTGAAATTGGATCCTTTGAGTATTACCGCTAACATATCAGCTGTATCTCAGAAATTAACTGGGGGAGTCCTACTACTTAGAAACAAATATTACATTATCTTTTATCGAGGAAAGGATTTCCTTCCACCTACTGTTGCGGCTGCTTTAGCAGAAAGGCAAGAGATAACAAAACAGATCCAAGATGTTGAAGAGAAAACGCGGAGCAGTCCTGCTGAAGCGACACCATTGGGCACAGATGGACAGGCTGTTGCCGGTACTTTAGCCGAATTTTATGAGGCTCAGGCTCGGTGGGGAAGAGAAATATCTGCTGAAGAACGTGACAAAATGTTAAAAGAAGCAGCTAGAGCTAAGATTGATAGAGTAGTCAAGCGGCTTGAACATAAACTTGAGCTTGTAAGTGTGTCTTTTCACCTCTAATCTGAAAGCTCATCTCTTGAATGATAAACCATCTAAAAGTTTCTCACATTAGTTTTTTTCATGATAACACATTGCCTTTATTGCACTTTATCGTAGCATTCTGTTGCAACTGATTGTCTTTTTTGAATCCGTCAATTTCTTTTTTATGATTTTGAAGATCTTTGTTTTGGTGCGATCTAGGTGTATTGATACTATTCTAGCTTTCGGAAAGTTTCAACTGATGAGCTATAAAATTCTTTAGATTTGCTGTCTTTGTCATTCTTCATTATGCCCTCATATTGTATAGGCTTTTGTTTCTCCGAAATTTTTCTTTTTCTTCTCTCTTCCTTTCTTGCTTTCCTTCTTTTTCTTTTTGATAAAGTAATGAGTTTTATAGAAAAAGGCATCAAGAAGATGCAAACCTTTCTTGCTTTCCTTCTTCTTCTTCTTCTTTCCGAGCAGAGGGTCTATTGGAAACAATCTCTCTACCTTCATTAGGTAGGGGTAAAGTCTGCGTACAAACTACCCTCCCCAGACCCCACATGTTGGGAATATACTGGGTATGTTGTTGTAATCTTTTTTGACTCTTTTGAGATTCAGATTTTTCTTCCTTCTTCCCCCCCACCTAAATGTTTGGCTCTTCAGAAAATGTCCTGCCAAATTAATTTATTTTTTTATTCCCTTAATCTTGTTTCCAAGATTATTTTTACCTAGCCTTGTCTCAATTTTCATTTTGCCGTTCCTTTGTCTATTAAGTAATCGTTTTTATGTGGTGCGTAAACAGTCCCAGGCCAAGAAGCTTAAAGTAGAGAAGATTTTAGCTAAGATTGTGGACTCCTGGATTCCTGCTGGTCCTTCTGATGACCTGGAAACAATAACAGAGGAAGAAAGGGTCATGTACCGTAGAGTTGGATTAAGAATGAAGTCATACCTTCCACTTGGTGAATTTTCATTGTTCTTGGACGTAAACAATAATTGTGGTCAGTCTGTTGATTACATCCTGTATTTAACTGAGAACTCATGTATAATTACCTACCAGGTATTCGTGGTGTCTTTGATGGTGTTATTGAGAACATGCATCTGCATTGGAAACACAGAGAACTTGTAAAGTTAATATCAAAGGAAAAAGAACTTGCTTTTGTTGAAGAAACAGCTAGACTTTTGGAATATGAAAGTGGTGGGATTCTAGTGGCAATAGATAAAGTGCCAAAAGGTTATGCTCTTATTTTCTACCGTGGGAAGAACTATAGGCGGCCCATCAGCCTCAGGCCAAGGAACCTTCTGACAAAAGCAAAAGCACTAAAACGTAGAGTGGCACTACAGCGTTACGAGGTTTTTCATCTTACATGTCAGCTGTCCCATTAAAAAATAATGTTATCTCTCTTTTTACTGATAATCTGCTTGTTTTATCTGGCTTCCCAAATGCTGTCTTGTAGGCTCTCAGTCAGCATATGACCGCGCTGGAGACGTCAATAGAGCAAACGAAAAGGCAAATTGTAAGACAAAATCTGAGCTTGAATTATGCGTTCATGTAGTGCAGTTTGCTAATATACCCTTTGTTACCATTCACTCTGCTTCCTCTTGATTTGGGCTCTTTAATTATTCTGCCTGCGTGTCATTTATAATTAGATGTTTTCCTTCATAAAAAAGATCCCCAATTTTGCAAAACATTTCAGGAGGCTTCTGACTCCAACTCTGTTAGCTTTTCAAAAGATTAACTGGATCCCTTCTTTAGTAGTTTTTGCAAAGAAATATAGTTCATTAATTATAAGATAAAACAAATGTTCCCAAATTAAGATTGCCATCTCTTATAAGGCCAAAATCCTAATATGTGGAAGTTGACTAAACTCAGATTCAGTTAAAATTTTCAATTCAGAATCTTTTAGAGATGGAACAAAGAATTCTGAGACTGATCTTTGTAAACCACAATTTCCAGAGAAGGATAACATCTGAGGGATTTTGGTTCATCATTGTCTTGATAACACCCAATCTTATATGCTAACTGGATCTTTTGATAACATTGGTGACATGTTTCTGGAATTCAAACTGTAGGCAAGTCTGGACTCATCTTCTCTCATCTTTACTTTGTCTTCAGTGGGATATTTATTACCTTATTAAGAAAAAGATCATTGAGATATTTCATAGCTGTTTAAGTACTATTGGAACTAGCACCAATAGGCTCTTGAAGATGCGAAAAATAGTCGCTGGAAAAACTGAGGTTGCTTTGTGAATTAAATTTGTTTTTGTAATATATAACATATTTGCAGCTACAGTGTTCACTAGAATTTTTGAAGTTCAAAGTGCGTATTTCAACTTGCTATACATGTTAGATAACTGAATCTTCTTCTTGTATGCCCATAGGGTGATGTTGGTAATGCAGACATCAATACTAGCAACTTGGAGGCGCTTGATCAGTTCAATCATGTCTCAGAATTTTCCCAAGTGAGTGCACAATGATTTCTTTGGCTGTCTAGGAAAAACCTTGGAGGTTTCTTATACAATTGTCAAGAATTGTCTTTAACTGACCACTTAGCAGGGCTTCCTCTTGTCTTAACTGTTAATAGTTCCTTGAAGTGTGGGGAGGGAAGGCACGGCCGGCTCTAATGTGTTGAGCAGTAAGGCTTGTGCCTTAGGCCCCCAAATTTTGGGGGGCCCGTTTTTTAAAAATGATGGATTTATAGGTATTTAAAAAATAATATTTAGTACTTTTAATACAAAAGTAGAGTTTTTAATATAAAAGGAAAGAAAGCTCTTTAGATACATAAATAAAGTAATAATTTGACTTATTTAAACATGGGTGGATGAATAGTTTTCCCAACGTTTCAATTTTTCACTTCTTACTCCTTCATTAGATAACGTGTAAAAATTTTACTCTCCCTTTCTTAATTTCTCCAAGTCAATCTTTCTTTTCCCGATATCTTCATATTTCAGAAACCCCTACATATTTTCTGTCTTTCTCTTTAATATTCTTACTCACCTTCTTTCTCCAAGAATAAGCTTCCAATAGTTCTATACTTCTATTGTTCTAAAAAATCATATCTAAAATTAACAATATCTCAAGAAAGATTAAATGAGTTGGAAATATTATCAATTAAAAATGAATTATTAGGGAAAATTGAGTATAAAAAGAATTATTAACACTTTGTATCTCAAAAACTTAGAAAAATAGACTTTAAATAAAAACATATCGTATAACGTTCTTTTAAAAATTTAGGCCTCATTAAATTTTGGCTTTAGGCCTCCCATATACTTGAGCCGCCCCTGAGGGAAGGGGTCCTCTCTCCCCGGAGGAAGGAAGGGTGAACTTTTGTATTTCAGGAAGAAGGATCAAAATAACGAAATACTTACCAGAAGAAAAGATCAAATTATAATGATTGCGGAATATTCATATTAACTTACTTTTTATTCGGTGTGCAGAGTCAAGATGAAGGTTCATCGCTGGAGTTTGATAGTGACGAGGATGAAGATCCTGAATGGGAAAATGATGATGATTCAGAATACTCCAGTCTCGAGGACAATGAAACAGGATAACAGCATTTCATGGCTAATTCCTTAAGAGGAACTGCATTATCATGGCCATAGTCCTATTGAGGTAATTGTACCGTCTTATGCCTTCATTATTAAAGCTATTCTTAAAAGCTCTTATTCCTTAAAATAATAAATACATATTCAATATAACTTTATAAAACTTATACATTATTCTACCGAGTGAAAAAGGAAAAAGAAATGGCAGGAAGCGAAGAGATTAGAACTAGTTTGCTAGGGCACTTCTGACCCGGGAAAGTGTAATGATTCAACAGACCGGAAGAACAAGGAAATTATTTTTCGCTTCAATTCTAGATGCCACTAACAGCATGAAATGTCTCAACTACTTGTTTGTATTTAAAACCTCATAATGTCCGTCATAACAATGTTATTGCTCTTTAGAATTGCTCCAAGCGTGGTAGTAGTCTTCAACTACAAGGTTTTACTCTTTGATATACTGGTCAAATATTTTTAGAAGATGCCTAATATGTGCAAACTACTTAGTTTAAGTGTTGGGATATGCATTTAAAATTCACTACACTTTTAACCAATGGCATGCTAACAGTGGCATTAACTTCCAGTACCTACTTTTATATTTGCAGATACACTGGAAATGAAAAAGAAACACATTAACCAAAAGTGATAAGAACTACTCATATTGACCAAGTATGATACTGTATCTTGCAGCCACAACAATCATCTTTCTGAGGTTAATAAATCTCCCAAGTATTTGCTTATGGCCATTGATGGAGCCTTTGGATCACTGGTCGATTCAAAATTTGGAAGGGCTTCTCATCGTGCAATTCATCCAAGCTCAACTGGCCCGAATTGTACATTGACGGATTAGCTGGAGGGCTCGTCTGCTGATGCCCAGACTTTACTATCAACTCATAGCTTTGGACCTTTGGTGAACATTGTAATGAGTGTAGATGTAATTGCTTTGTCAACCATTTTTTTGGTTCTTCCAGTTTTTGTAATTACTTTGCTGAATCATAGAGAAAACAATGAGAAGGATGCATCACATATCAAGGAAAGAAAGAAGAGATCTGAAAAGATAACAAGAATAAGTTATCCCTCCATTTTTAACTAGTAAAAGATTTTAGGTTTTCTACTGAATCTATAAGAAGAGAATCTTTGTGATTCCACTAAACTATAGAGACAACTTTTATGTGGTTCCTACTTCTTGAGAAACTCTTCTCATCTTTCAGGGTATAAGTGCAAATGACAACTGCAAATTTTTTTTTTTATCAAGAATGTGACGGTGAAGATTTGTTTTCAATATGCACCGAGCAGAACTGAGTATCAGAGAGTTAACCCAAGGAATGAAAGGCTTTCTTCAGATCGCAAATTTTATTCGCTATTGTCCTAAGGAACTTTATTATCTAAGGGCTTTGTTGTGCTTTTAGTTTCTAGGATCACTAAGGATAAAATGAAATTTAACCACGTCAAACATTATGTATGGCCTGAGGTTTTGATGTTATGGTAAGTGTCATATAAGAGCTTAAAGTTAGGTTTTATTATAAAGGCATCATAAAATTAATTTACAGAACACAAATGACACTGCCATGCGACAATAAGCTGAACTAAGTGTCAAACATATGTGAGAGTCTTCTACATGCCTTGATATTTCATAAAATGGATGTTTTCAAGTACATATAACACATTATGCTGCTTTCTCAATGACGTCGCTAATTGCTGTCTACCTAATGATTTTACAGCGGGGCTAATGAAATCAAAGTGGAAGCATCTCACTATTGCATGAATCGCGCCTTTACTCAAATTTAATACCGACCATAAGGTTACTAAGAAAAAGAAGAATGATATCTTTGTCTTCAGTTTGGATATCTGACTGAAGAGGGGGGTAGGAGTGGAGAAGCACGGACCAACCAGTTACATTGTTATGTACCAACCTCCATATGTCATGAAAAATTACTAAATAGGTTTACAATTAGATCAGCATCCATAGACATGAATGTCTGAATTTCCCCTTCACTTTTGATCTCTCGGGCACTAGGTACTGCTCTTAGGCGACTATACTATTTCGCAATCTCATATTTGAGTTGCATTAAACTATGCTAATGCAGTACCATGCTACATGCAAGCGACAATAGATACAAAAGAAAGAGGAAAGGGTCCAAAAGATGACATATATGCACCAAAGGAGCTCCACCAACACCTATAAGCAAAATTTATGATTTGCTGACCACATGACAGGAAACCCTAATTGAGCTAGGAAAAATAACCTTAACAAGGGGGGACACACCATTGAACTAGGGGTGCAATGTCCATCTACACCCAGTGGAACTGGATATATAGTAAAGTCAATTAGCCAGACAGTGATATTCCAATTTCTTCGCAAAATTGTCTTTTGCAGCACTTGCTTCTAATTAACCGAGCATTTGTTGCAACTGAAGCACTTGATTCCTTTGCTCTGGAGGTAGCATGTTAATCTGTTCCGGGGTCAGACTCCTTACTTGCTGAAGAAGTGCATTCTCCATCTCCGGACTCAGCTGCACATCAACAAGATTAACTTATTTTTGGCCTGAAACAGAAAGTAAAACCAACAGTCATTTCTAAAACTAAATAACTGAATAATAGGACTGCAGATATTACTGCTGTCGGTCTAGAAGGCTGATTGCTAGGGCCCATCTGGCCAGGGAATGGTGGTGGTCCTGGGAGATGTGTTCCTGATGTATTCTCTGGTAAGCTCGGAATCCGAGGAGATACTCGATCTGCTTGCATTGAACTTCCAACTTGATGGAATTCTGGTCTCAAATGTGAACCTCCCATCTAGATATATGCACATACAAAATGCATGTTAAATCTTATGATGACAGCCGGCATAGTAAAGATAGTTAAGAGTTAAGAATTCTCTTCAAACAATAGACACCAAAATTATCGTGCGTTTTGGACCGTTACCAGAACTAACATGTAACATTGCTCTTGGAAACACCATGTTACAAAAAGAAGATTTGGGAATGGATAACAAGCTATACTTTGTCAAGGTTTGAACTTTATTGAAGATATACTTAAGTATATAAGGTGGGCCAGTAGTTTCAAAAGGCCAAATAGATTAACAATATTTGATGGTCAAATAATAACACTGACAATTGAAGTCAAAATAGAATAGTTAGTTTGGGCCGGAGGGACCAAGGGAGTTGGAATGATTTGCAATTTAAAAGAAAGTCGGTAACCCAATTTTTCAAAAGAAATCAGTACACGTAAAACTTCATTCACGTGCTAAATGAGCAATAATAGAATGCTAACTATGGAGGAGTATAGCGTACCTTTATCCCTATTAGCCATTTACAATCCCGCGTAACTACCGATCATGACATAAGACATATTTAACATGGATAGGTAGAAAATCTTAGCAGGCGTTTGGACATAAGAATTGTAAAACTCGAAAAAATGGTGAAAAGGTTTTTCAAGTGAAAATGGTATTTGAAATTTAGAGTTGTGTTTGGACATAAATTTCAGTTTGGCTTGTTTTTGAAGTTTTGTGAGTGATTTGAGTGAAAATTTTGAAAAACAGCTTTTTGCAGTTTTTCAAATTTTCTAAAATTTCCAAAATGCATCTTCAAGTGAAAATTGAAAATTTTATGAACAAACGCTGATTTTTTCCGAAAAATCTTCCATCAAATTTTATGTCCAAACGGGCTCTTAAACACAGCAAAATTGGCATGGAACTCATGCATTGTTTAAGAGGTAACTATTAAGTGGCACTTAAAATTTAACAATAGTCCGTCCTTATTAGAATTGACCAAGTTTAGCAGAGCAAGTAACAGAATGATCAGGCTTACATGGCCAGGAAGACCAACAAAGATAGAAATAACATAAAGTTTCGGTTACGTAGATTTTAAAAACTACGGCACCTGATACAGCGACTGAAGTGGCAGCTGACTTGGAACTGGTGGTTGTCCCGGTAGAAAAGCAGGTCCCATGCTTGCCGGAGGCCTCAGCGCAGGCTGAGTGATAAAAGGAAAATTTACATCATATGCAGGAAGGAAACCTTAAATTCACTAAAGGCATAATGCTCACATGATAAGCAGGCTGTGAATGATGGTGGTGCTGAGTTGCTCCAGATTGAGAAAAACCAACATTCGGCCCCATGTGAAGGTGAACTTGATGGGGGAAGGGTTGCATTGGTGGTCTCACTTGTGGTGGTAGCTGTGGTTGCATAATGAGGTGTTGGTTGCCACTAGTTTGCATTGGTTGTTCCAACTGGGAGGATGCCGGAGGCATTTGTGATTGAAGATGAGATGGCAGCGGTGAAGCAGAATGATGAGGAAGCGATGGCATGTTAGGAATTTGAGAGGTTTGTGGTAAAGAGATTGGTGTGGCTTGAGCACCAATATGTCTCTTTGGCTGCTGCACTGACTGCAATGGATGAGACGGCAAGGATGGAGGTTGAAGGTTTGAGGGTGGGCGAGAAGCAGATGGCGCAGTTAGAGAAGGTTGATTCTGCTGCTGCTTTCTTGTTTGCTCCTGAATGCCAATTTGCTCTGACAATGATGGAGTGGTCTGAACATTTGACTGTGGAAGCTGAGATACTGACTGCTGGGGATTCAATGCTCCTGTCGGCTGTATGGCTGGAATCTACAAATAGAAAAAAGAGTAAATATCTGCAACTGCATTGCATTTAGACATGGAGTATGGATATCACAAGGTCAAAAGGATGAAACACTGACTTACTGCTTGTGGTGGCTGCACCATCCCCAGCATTATTTGTGCCTATAAAACCCATCATTATAAAAGTCCAGATCAGACAATCAGAAATCAACAAAGGAACTCCAAATTCATATGTTGGGTTCCAATTGTGAAAGCTGTCTCTTTTTTCCAAGAATCTTGTGATGACTCACAATAGAAAACAGACAGCAACTCTTTAAAACATCGTCCACATCACAGTAAATCGTTTGCAAGAGGGAGGAAGGACTAGCTGTCTTTTAGCCATGAAACTTGATATTTCACCTAGCTCCTCTAACTGTCAATTATCAAATATTAAGCTTTATGATCCCTCACATTAGTGATCCTGAAACATGAATATCTACTTTAAGTTTAAAACCAAACGAGTCACTTTATTAACGGAATTAAAACCCTGATTTCAGCATTATAACAACCAATAGGAAGCAAAAAGAGATAAGAACCTAGAATAATAACGCTCAAAAATAGATACGAGGTCAAAGTCAAACAAACGAGCAAATTTAGAAGAGAGAGAGAGAGAGTGAAGGTAAAAGAAAACCTGAAAGAGTGCTCTAGTCAAGCTAGGGTTTTGAATGAGAATTTGCCTTGCTTGTTGCTGGTTCTGTTCCACTAGCGTCTACATAACAGCCCAATTAGAAAATCCGTGCTAATAATTTACAACAATTTTATCAAGCAGCTCTAGGAAAAGAATACAAGTAACAAACGAAATGAATGAAAACTGAACCTCATTAAACCTTCAAGTAGCTCAACAACGAATTTGCGTATGGATATAACACAAACACATAAATAGGAGTACCTTCATCTGAAACATAATGTCGTAGAGCTGGTTTTTGGACATTCCGGCCATCTTCGCCGATAATCCGTCGCCGGCCATTTTGCTCCCACAATCTCTTCTACCGGCACTCTCAGTCGGAGGAAGAAAGGAACGGGGGCCTTTTCATATTGGGGTATTTTATTTGGAAATGGTTGCCGCTTTATTACACTTTCATGGCCCAAAATTGTGGCCCGTCATAATGGCCCACTAGTAGAATTTTCGTAGCCACTCCAAGGGGTCTTTGTTCGGGAAAAAGTTATCTCATAATTAATTATTTCGGAATTAATTATCTTGGGATTACCTATCCCATCCTGATAAAAAAATATTACAATCTCGGAATAACTAATTCTGAGATTAGTTATACCACGATTTTATTCTAACCAAACATGGGATAAACTCATCTCAATTTAATCCCGGAATTAATTATCCCTTATCTCTCATACCAAACGAGTCCTAAAGGTTTCTATTTAGAAATTAGCTATTTTTTCTTGAATTTATGTTTTTCAGTTCTATTTTTCAAGATACAAATATCCTGAATTAAGATTTTTAATTGTCTTGAAATTAAAATTTTTAATTTAAATTTTCAGGATAAAATAAGTATTTGCTAACCTCCCGACCTTAAGAATGGTTGTCAGTGTACTCCCCCATTTTTCATTGACAAAAAAGCGAATTTTATTAGTTGTCCCTTTTACAAATGATATATATATATTTTTTTTATTATTATTATTTTTGCAACGGATATCTTTTTTAGACCACAATTTATAAATTCTTTTTGACAAACTAAAAAACTTCTTAGAAAATATTAGACTTTAATCTAAAATTTTGTAAGTTATTGCAAACGTTATATCACGCTCTAATGTTTTGTCAGCATAATGAAAATTATTTGCGCAATTATTAGCCTCAGAGTCTAATATTGTCGAGAAAGAGTAACTTCCAAAGGGCTATATTTGCACATATTTATAATATAGAGAATATCTAAACGGAGGCGCATGCACAGAAACTAATTGTTTATGACATATTACTAATTTGCACACAAATTTCGTACTTTCTTTAGACACTTGATTTATAATCTTTCCCTGGGAAATTGAAGTCGGTATTCTTTTAATGAATTTATAATTTTCATGCCTTTAGAAGTCGTACTTTCTTTAGACACTTGATATTTTACACGCGCGCGCACATATATATATATATATAT